CAGCAGCCACCCTGGGCTGGAGGACGGGGCTGCTGGGAGGCGCTTCTCCCCTGCCCTTCCCGGGCTTCTTGGAGACCAGCACCCCAGGGCGCTTGGAGGCCAGCGGAGAGCAGGTCAAACGCAGCGCTGCCCACGTCCCCTTCTGCTGACAGCCGCTTTCCGACAAGGCCTGCCTGGCTAGCTTCTATCTGGGCAGGTGAGACAGCAGGCAGCAGACAGGCGAGTTATTTTTAGCATCCCACAGAAGGTGACATACGTGACTTGCAAGGCCTCATGCCTGGATGTGTGCTTATCAGATGATGCATGCAGACACTTGCAGTGTGCAGTGAAGCGGAAATCTCAATAGGATGATGCCAGGAAGGGGCCTGGTCCTGGGCAGGTGGAGCACAAACATCCCACCATTGGCTGCCTTAGCTGGCACGCAGGCTGAGGTCCAGCCTTTGGGAGTTGATTCCTGTAGGTGCCACCTCTCACACAGCTCTGTGGCATTGCAGGTCCATCCCTCCCCCGACTTCTTGTTCACAGGTCCTAGCGAATTCCTACCGATCTTCCCAAACCTTTTCCCGCACCCTCGGGCAGTGCCAGACACCTCATGTGGGCTGCTGTCACCTCCATCACAGCCATGAACATACTATGACAATCATCTGCCTCTGAAACCAAACCAAGACCCTGCTGAGGCCAGGGGCCTGCCTTGCTCATGTGCGTAATCCCAGGACATTGCACAGTGCTGGGCAGAGGGTGTTGATGAATGAGAGTCCGTGCCCCGGTCCTCCCCGGTCCTCCCCGGTCCTCCCCGCGGTTGGAGAGGCTTGTCTCAGAGCCCCCTGTTGTCAGCAGGCCGGGGCAGAAGGGCTGGGCTGTGCCCCTGGGGCTGAGCTGCCCCTGACAGTAGTGCCTGCACAGATCGTCCGGGGCCTCCACCAAAGAGCCGCCCTTGCCGTGGGTTAAAGCAGCAGCTGCAGGAAATCAGGGCTCACCCGGGGTCTCCCCTCAAGTTGAGGTGGTTGTTGAGCATGTTGGGCCCCTCCATTCTGGGCTTGATGAGCACCGACCTGATTTGGTTCCTCGAAAGGTAGGACTGGTGTGTACCTCCTCTCCCAGGGACCTCATGGGGAGGCCCTGCCGATGTCCAAGGTTGTCAGGGCAGAGTAGAGTGGCTCAGGGGAAGGGCTCTGCTGCAGCTGGAGTCCGCCCCTGTGGACTCGGGTGGCCCTTCTGTTCCCGCTGCCAAGTTCGATGGCCCTCCTGTGGACTCATGCATAACTGACGCAGTCTCCATTGCCTCTGAGGGGTCAGGGTTTCAGAGATGCTCAGGGACAATGCCTTGCGAAACAATGAGCACTTTAAGGACAGGGTGTGCGGATTAACAAGTATGACAAAAAAAAGAAGCACGCGGCCCTAACGTGGACTCTGGAGGTTCCTGCATGCGACCCCGGAGCCCACGTTTGACGAGCCACTAGCACCAGCACCTGGGGGGCGAGAACTCGCCTCAAGTCCTGTCCCTGGGTTTTCCTCGTTGCATCAACAAAATGAGATACCAGAAGCTCTGAGAACACGTTACTTCAGAAGTGGAAATTACAGACTCGCAGCAGCCAAAACAGCTATTTGCTGTAATAACCGTTCTAGCACAGGTTGGAAAAGCCTTGTAAATGTTGCCCTTGTTTGAAATCCTGCCCTGATTCCCACCCCACCACCTCCCCAGTGCTGAACAGGTTGGGAGGCAGAGTGACTATTTTCTGTTTGTTTGGGTTTCAGAGCCGAGCTGTCTGGACCTACCGTCTGGAAGAGCCTCTTTCCCATCCCAGCAATCAGAAGCCACTGCGGAACCAGGGCTGCCTGGACAAACACCAGTAAGACCTCAGGGTCATTAGCTGAGGGCAGAGGGTGTCTTTGCTTGAGCCTCTGACAGTCACCACAAGTCCAAAACTGAGCTCGGTGTCTGCCCTTCAACTCATCGGAATTCAAATGACGCAATGGGGAGGAGAGAGGACAGTTTGTCAGACGTCCTCAAACTTGTCTGCACCTGAGAACCACCGAGGAGTTACTAATCATCCAGAGGCCCCAGCTCTACTCTCCAGATCCAATGTGCACCCAGGCTGAGCACCGCTGACTTAAGTGGTGCTTGGAGTTTCTGCAGGCCATCCTACTGTGGCTGGGAGCCCTGGGTGGGGAACGATGCTGTTTCCAAGGAGGCCTGGCTCCTTGTGTGTTCCTGTGATGAGCATCTCTCCATGCTGAGTGTGACTATGGGGTTTGAAAGTCCACATTCCACGTGTAACAAGGCCCTGAGACTTCATCTGATTCAACCAAAGCCTTGGCAATCCCTGCTGTACTTTATGGGTAATTTCAGGGATTTTCAAGTGCACTGTTGGCAATATGAGGGTTTACTTTCATCCAGACCTTCAGCAACCAAAGCCTTGGCAATCCCTGCTGTACTTTATGGGTAATTTCAGGGATTTTCAAGTGCAGTGTTGGCCATATGAGGGTTTACTTTCATCCAGACCTTCAAACTTCAGTGCTGCACGACATGCCTGTGTTCCCTTTCTCAGCGGATGGTCAACCATTCACTGAAACCTTCAAACTTCAGTGCTGCACGACATGCCTGTGTTCCCTTTCTCAGCGGATGGTCAACCATTCACTGAAACCTTCAAACTTCAGTGCTGCATGACATGCCTGTGTTCCCTTTCTCAGCGGATGGTCAACCATTCACCAGTGGCCCTGCTGGGAATCCAGGCACTGTCTCCATCTGCTCCCGTCCCTTCAGCCCCTCCACTGTCCCCCAGGTCTCACGGATGCTACTTAGTCTCTGTGCCCTCTGCCCCTGCTTTGGGTCACTTCTTCATCTCGAGTCCACGCTGCCACCTTCTAACTAGCCTGCCTGCTTCTCGTCCTGCTCCCCTCCGTCTGTCCCTTCACAGTGAACAGTCCAGATACGGAGTGCCCTGTACCCCTCTGTGACCCTGCACCACCGCCTCGTGCTTTCCTAACCAAGGCTAGACTTCTTGGCACGACCTTCGGCCCTCTCACTGCCAAACACCTTCGTAGCCTCCTCTCCTATCACAGCATCTCAAGGACCTGACCTCCAGCCACGTGCAGACTCGCCCTGCCACGAGCCTTTGCTTAGCTCTGTCCTTCGCCGGTAGGTGACCTCTCCCTGCCTCTTAACAGCAGCCCCCGTGCCCCATGCTCCCCTGCTCACTGTGCCGCTCCTCCATGACCAGGGCACCCAGTGCACACTCGGCTGAAGCCTCTCACACCGTGTCGTGAGTACTGGTGTCCCTGTGTTTCTCCCGATTACGCTGCGAGCTCCTGGAGGCAGGAGCTGGGTCTCGCTCTCTCTGCGTCCTCGGTGCCTGCACCATCCTAGACTAAAGGAAGCTCTGTATTCAGTGTCCCAACTTG